ATCATTAAGGTGAAAGATGCTTTTCCTTTTCTCTGTTTAACACTATGGTATCAGTGCATGGGGGGGGTCTGCCTGTAAGACGAATTGGCAGTGGGGTTCAGGAGGATTGCCAAACTGTTTACCCATCACCCCGCCTCACTGAACAACACAGGATGAAATCAAGTGTTCTAAGGTTTTGACCTTCAACTCTTGCCACTAGAGGGCAAAATGCTGACACCCATCCCCTGTCTCAATCTAAAGCATGAGTCAAAACACTTTGGCCCTGTATCTTTTGATCTAATCGGGCCTCACATTCCTGTGCCAATGCCCATCGCCACCAGGAGACATGGAGTGTTCTCATGGTTCCTGACAACAAAAATGCTCCATCCTGTGCCCATTCACCCCGGAAAATGACCAAAAAAGGGGTCAGGAAGAAGACTGAGGAGAAAAGGTGTTGCAAGGGAGAAAGTGACTGCTATACTGGAAAGGCATTGAGTTGAAACTGAGTTACATCTTGAGGGCTTGCTTCCTTTCTTCCTGTCCTATGTTCTTATTTTCTTTCTCTTACCTCCCACTCCACCCAGATGAAAAATAAGGCAAAAGAGGAAGCCGAAAGGACCCAAGAGGGCATCGATCCAATGAATCTTGGGCCCAGTAAGCCCAGGATCCTGCCACCTCCTCCCCTCTCAAGAACTCACACAATGGGACAAAACCTCCCACAGGGGGTGGTACCAACTAGGCCAGAGGCCAAGGTCGGTCTCTCTCTGTAGCTCTGTATTCTACCCCCCTGCCCAAGGTGGCAGGATCCTGAGAAAGGTGCAGGGCCCATCATGATATGGTTTCACCTGAGGGGTAATGAGCAGGAGTGGCTTTTGGGGGAGAATGCAAGGGGAGCACGGCAGGCACAGCTGGAGAGAGGGGGAAGAGTGTTGATATAAGCTGTGTGTGAACCAAGGAGACGTCATTCTCCCACCCACAGAAAATGCACCCTGTGNTTCAAAGTTACAAATAGCTTGGAAATAGTTTATCTCTGTTTTATATCAATAAACAGTAGGCAAACTCTGTAAAGAGAGGGGCTATAAATTTTTTTTTTTTTTTAGCTGAGCCATCCTGCTACCTGTTGGCAGGGGCTATAACTTTTTGAATGCTGTGTATAGTCCCTAGCAAAGTTTGGGAGCTAGAAAAATTGCTTATGCCATAGAAATATTACAGTGTTACATGGCTCAGTTACACGATTTGGGTATAGACAACGGTGGAAGGATGAATGAAAGATAAGGATGGCTGTGATTTGCAGTAGGAGCCTGAGTGACAAGATTTAACCTTTAAAAGTCTGTAACTGGTATGACAAAAGTGATATAATACAATCTGAGGGAAAATGTTGCTGGCAGATATATGAGAGTTCTTGGGAGGCCCAGGATACCACACACTCTGGGAACATAGAAGGTCGTTAAAATGCAGCATGTGCAGGATTCTTACTAGTATTCTTCAAAATTTAACTTCAAAAATCGTGTATCATTGACATTAAATGTGTTGCCGATATTTTTTTTGAATTTTACAACAAAGACAAAGGCAGCAACAGTAAAAATCCACAAGTGGGACTCCATCAAACTAAAAAACTTCTCTGCACAGCAAAAGAAAACTATCAAGACAAAGAAAAGGCAACCTACTGAACGGGAGAAATATATCTGATAATGTAACCTAACCTACACATGTAGTCCAGCAGGTAACCTAGCACAGATTAACCTTTGTTTAGAGCTTATAACTTTGCCTCAGTTAACCTGTAGATCACTCTAAAATTTATAAGGTTTGTGTAATTCTATCTTATAATTCGCTGAAAGTTTCACAGGAAGACCAAGACTTAGTCAGATGTTTATCCAGATCTATGTAATCCCTGACGCTGATGACTGCTAGGACTGTTTTTCAGGAACAAACCCAGGATGTTTTGCAGGATCAGGGCGGTGAACCAGCTGAAACTGTCTGAGATGGGCTGGAACAGACCAAAGGACCCTTCAGTGACCTCCTTGTGGACTTTCTTCATTCTACTCTCATTATAATATTAAAATCTCCAGCCAGGGGCAGACATTTTCCGCCATTTTTGAGCACACGATGTGCTCATTGCCCCTGCTCCGGAATGTCCCCACCTGTACATGCAAAGACAAAGTCTACACTGATGTTTATGCATGATTTCCCCTAATAGAGATGGAGTAGATGCTTTGTTCAGAGACACACTTCTCTGGGAAGGGATCCCAGTGTGTCCTTGCTGGTTGACTCGTCATACAGTTCCTTCTCATAAAATCATCTCAGAGTTGTCTTTTGGTTGCAACACTGAGCATTTGGACCCAGTTCAGTCTGGTAACAATGCAGGGTTACTGTCCAAAGTATACAGAGGACTCATACAACTCAAGAGCAGAAAAACAAACAATCTCATTTAAAAATGGGCACAGGTGGGCCGGCCGAGTGGCGCGATGGTTAAGAACTCGCTTGGGATGCCAGAGGGNGGAATTCCTCAACAGGGCCCTACCTGGCTGCAGTCAATGGCTTGAGTGGCTCTAACTGCGGTCGGGCTGGTGCCCCTCGACCAAGTTGTAAGGAACGCGCCCCCTCCTGAAGAACTCATGTCATTCCTCCTACGAGCATAGCCCTAGAAGGCAAGTCCGTACCTGTGCACATCTCAGGGCAAGGGACACAGTGCCGCCCCCACCCGTCCAGTCCTCAATCTCTAAATGACAAGATCCAGACAAGGGCCTTCAGCTTGGTAAAAGGTGTGGTCATGGGAGAGCCCCTCCCAGTCCCAGGGCAGGGACTTACCTTACTCTGCTTCCTGTCCAGGTAGAACTGGTGCTGGCTAATGGCCATAGCCCAAATGGACTTGATTAATGCTGGGCACGCGTACCACGTATGCACCGCGATGCCACTGTGTCCAAACGTCCTCCTTGTCACGGAAGCCCTGGTAAAGCCAGAATCAGAAGGGTCAACCATGTTTATGATGAAGAACTCCACTGATCGGCCAACAGCCCTTATCGAGAGCCCAGTGGGTCCTAAATGCCCTCACGTCAAGCTGATGAGCTCATCTTTTGACTTACTGGCTCATTAGGATCCAGAACTGGGCCAAGTCTCTGCCTTGTCTGGGAGAAGATGGGTCATTCTAGGTCACTGGACAGCCCTTGCTGGTCTTCAGCTCCTGGCACTGGGCCAGGACAAACTCCAGCGATAGAAAAAGCCGTTGACAATGTCCTTTATTATGCAGGCAATGCTGCCTATGGTGAAGGATGAGCGAACTGTCATCTGAATGTGACAGGCCACAGCCTGTGGGGAAGTCCTGCGGGAATCAGGACTTCTTATGTTACTCTAACTCAATGTTCCTTGAAAGAGTTGGTCATCGATTTCAATACATTCAGAGGGCAGAGAGGGTATAGAGTCAGGAGAGGGAAGGCTGAAAGAGGGAGGAGTCGGGTCAATCCCTCCCAATTACCCGGCCTTCACATATATGTTTATGGAGGAGATACAGAAAACATATGTGTGGCGTACAGAGAGGCAATCAGGCTTTAAACACAAAAGTAGAAACATGGGTCTCAACATAATTCAGCACATCAGTGGCATTGGGGGGGAAAAAGTTACATGATAATGTTCTCATCGAAGTATATAAGATAGGCAGATCATGCAAGTGAAATGTGAGAACACGTGTTTGCATGTGTGTGTGTATGTGTGTGTGTGGCAAGGTGATGGGACAGCGGTGGGCACACATCTTCTGATGTGTACGTCAGAAGAAAATGTGTGTTCTCAAGATTAAGATATCTTATTCAGAAGAAACTTGGGGTAGTCAGGATTTCTGAATAATCACATTTTTTTTCATGGCACCTTTGTCCTTGAAGAAAATTTAAAGCTGCTGCCATTGCCTTTCCTTGGGGGCTAAACATTTCCCAGTAGTCTTCTTCAGACCCACTTCTAAAGAGAAATTCAAACCTGGTGATGAGCGATACGAATTCCAGGCAGGGTATGCCTCCCGTTGGTTAAAACAAAAGATAAGTGAAAGTGCCAGCACACGAAAGGGCACATGGTTGAAAATAATGAAAAAGGAGCCAGTGAAGGAGTTAAGGGGGAAACCCTTACAGGTATCTGTAGACTGAAGGAAGAAAGAGTGATCTGAACTTCCTCTTTGGCTTCCACAGCAATGGCTGCTTCTAGGAGCAAATATATTTGTTTGTTTCTCCCAGAAAAGCTGAACTAGGAAAGTAACTTGAAATGTATTTTAGTGAAAGTCATGAGATCTGTATCAGGCTAGGTGCCTTCTCTTTTCCAGGTAAGGCGACAGAAGAAGAGTGAAGAGGCTTTCAGGTCTGGCTGGTTCCAGGTTACCCCCGGGAACACCTGAATCAGACACTTGGAGCGTTTTTCTCCTGCCCCATTATTAATTTATCTCTTCTCCACATCTTTCCCTTCGGGCTCTTCCCACCCCACCCACTTTTCTGCTTTGCCCAAACCTTAGAAATGGACTGTTTTCCAGGCCTGGAGAGCTGCAGAGACAATGATGGGTATCGAGTTAGGGTGCACGTACAGGAAAACAAATCCCATGGCATCTTCTGTGATCCCACCCATGCCCATCGACTCAGGAAGCACTTCTGCCCTGAGTGACTCCCCTGTCCCTGTTGTGTCCCACGCATGACACCTACACGATTCTCTCCTGTGCTTGCTATCCTATCACTTGGGTTCTGACTCCCTTCCTGGATTGGGGGCAGGGCTGACCTCGGAAGCATCCCCACATCTGGTCAGTTAGATGTGTCTTCACTGCTCCAAATAAACAAGGCCACAACGACAGGTCGCCCTGCTGAATGTAAGGAGCACCATGAGGCCATGAAGACTACTCACTGCCTTGCGAGGCACAAAAGCGGGCGTACAGCCTTGGCTCTGACACTAACCGGAAGCAATTCTCTTTGCCTGCCTCAGCGTATTTGGAAAAGGTGTCTTTCAAGCTGTAGTCAACTTGGGTTTCCACCTCTGACATCAGACACGACCCCTCCCTGGCCTCTCCTAGCCTCCCGTCCCTCCCTGCTTGCTTCTAGGCTAACAGAGGCTGGTTTCCTCCAGGGAGCCTGGTCCTGCTCTGTGCTCAGGCTGCTTCAGGTTCCTCACTTTCTCGTCTCTCTTCCGCCCAACTGACTGACATCTTTGTCCCCCTGAGGACCCACCCTGAGCTTTCCTGGTCACCCTTTGAGGTTCAGCTTAGATCTCTCCTGCTCAGGCAGCCTCTCCTGATCAGCCTGGCTTCCAGTGACCGTCAGCATTTATGGCCTGTGCCACCTGGCACTTTGGTCCTGCTGAACTGTGTATAGCGCAGCAGTAAGACACGTGAGCTTTGGAGTCCGACTCCCTGGGTTCGAATCCTGCCTCTACCACTTACTAGCTATTTGTAACCTACAGCAGCTAACTTCGTTCCTCTGTGCCTCGGTTTACCACATGTACAACAGGAACACTAGGGTACCCATTTCCTGGGGTTACAGGGAGCACCCAACGAGGAAATGTGAACAGTGTTGAGAACAGTGCCTGCACTCAGTGAACATGTTTCTTCTTCTGCCTGTCTCCCCAGATGTGCTAGAAGTTCTTTAAGGGCAGTGGACCCTGTCCCTATGTGCCCAAACACAGAAGCTACCCAACCAATACGAGATTGATCACTTTTGTTTAATAGGTGAAAAGCCCAATGTAATAGTAGTATGTGAGGTTTGGACCATTCCTATATTCCTGGGCGTTAGGCAAGGGAAGGGAAGGGAATTGACACAGACACACACACACGCACTCCTGAGACTCTGGTCTGGTGCAGTTCTTTTGGACAAATGACGGTGCCTTCCTTCCTGGCTGGACTGTGATTTTTGATCTCTCTCCCTCCCCACCTCGCCCTGCACAAGTGGGTCCCTGGAGGAGGCAGGGGCTGGGGACTGTGAGACCCCTCACAGGGCCTTGAGAAATGCTGGACAAGATATGCTTCTGCCCAATGCTACCATCCGTCTTCACCTGACTGCTGGGACACGGCTCGAAAATGTTCTCCCCTTGCACGTCCCGTCCAGTAGTGGCTGTGGGGTATGGGGTAGGCTCTTCCCCTACCCACAGGGGCTGTTTCAGGACAGGGCAAGCTCAAGTCAGTCCTACCGGTTATCACCGGCTGCAGGACAGACCATGCAGAAGCCTCGGGCTGCTGACTTGGCGGCATCTCAGTCTGGGTCTGGTGTCCTCAGCTCTCCGGGAGGCACGGCAGCCTGTTTTGAGCACTCAGAGGCCATGTGTGAGGGGGGCTGGTGTCAACTCCTTGCCCCCAGGCCAGCGCTGGGGAATCAATGGCTCCTAAAAATCCACATTTGCTCCTCTATAGAGTCTGCTCTTCTCTGTCTCCCCAGGACTGCCTTCTTGCTATAAATCTGTTTCTGGATTTACCGAAAGCGATAGACCCTTAGGTGTCAGGACTGTTCTCAGGGAATTTGGCTGCTGTTTCTGGGCTGCCTAAGCTCCAGGGCCGCCAGCAGACAAAGAGAGGAAAAGCAGCCGGTGCGCACTGCCCCCAGAACCTTCCACACAGAGCTTGCTGCCACTGCAAACCGGGACCCTATTGTTTGGCATCTGACTTGGAACACTGATTTTTACACAGCGCTGCCTGGGATACAATGTGAGGTGGAGAGAGAGGCAGAGTACTGCGTTCCTCGCACGTCCACCCCCAAAGCTAACACCTAACACTACAGCTCACTGAACCAAGCAATTTAGCACAACTGTTCCACGCACAGGTCACTTTGGGGGCAGACTGTCCTACCGGACGCCTTTTCAGAAGCTCTGACATGCCATCCTTCGGACTCTCCTCGTGCAAAGAAAAGGACGGAGCCCGCTGCCCAGTTAAGTTTGGGGTTGGTGACGAAGAGCTACAGACCTTCCCTAAAATGTCCCGGCATGTAAAGACAGCTCCGCGCATCTGAGCAAGTAACACGTGTAGGCAGACGCGATGATTGTGGAATCGCTAATTCTCACTCTCTCTCTCTCTCTCTCTCTCT